GCTTACCTAAATTGTCGAACGGTGAGAAACTGGAATTAAAAGGGCACTAAGGCTGCGAATACCACCCTTTTTTGTTACCCCGTCCAGTTACCCAACCAACGTCATCTTAACGTGTGGTCAGTGTGAGCTGGTGTGCATGATGTTGGCCCAGCGTGAGTCGAGCCTAGTTTTAAACTGTTCAACTGCGGATGACGGCAGCATTGCCGGTGGAAGAGCGTTCCAATCATTTACGACCCAGAAGCTTAGTGAGTTTCGAAGGACGAAGGTCCTGGCTTGGGGACTTCTCAGCTTACATTGGTGTCGTCATGTCACCTTCGGGTCGTGTCTTGTCAAGAACTCGCCCACCGGCAAAGATAGGCTTCTGTGAAACATCTGGAACACTGCAATCATGTTTCCCTTGCGACATCGGTAGTACATCGAAGGCAGTTGGAGGAGTCTGAGCCTCCCAGGATGTGCCCGTGCCTTACTTCTCTAAGACGCGCAGCTGTCATTGAACCCGTTCCAGCCGCTCCTGATCCAGTCTGCCCAACGGACACCAGGTGATGATGGCATGCCCTCGAAAAGTTGCGTCAGGGCGGGAATACAACAGTGGCGGTGTGAAAACGTCAATGTCGGCGAATGACGTTCCCACGGCTGCCAGCATCTGATTGGCCTTAGAAACCCCTCCGCTGTCTTCACGTGGAGCATGAGCCTGCATGAGCACCCACGAAAATTCCAGCGTATTTTTCAGAGGGCACGACTGCGACATCGGCGCCTTTAACGAAAGTACGTCAGTCGCGGATTGTAAGTGATGATGTGCACTACTTTACGCATGGGTGCCCTTAATGAGAGCAACCGTGAGAAGAAAGGCGGCCAGGGCCTTGGAGCACCACAGTTCACCAAGTATTATCCGTGCGGTCAGGGCCTTGGAGCACCACAGTTCACCAAGTATCATCCGTGCGGTCAGGGCCTTGGAGCACCACAGTTCACCAAGTATCATCCGTGCGGCCAGGGCCTTGGAGCACCACAGTTCACCAAGTATCATCCGTGCGGTCAGGGCCTTGGAGCACCACAGGTCACCAAGAGTATCATCCGTGAACATCTGGACCGCGCCTCGCACTGCCGGTAAACCGTTGACAAAATAATGAACCTGATTGGTCCCAGAATCTTTCTTTGAGGAGTACTGCTGGCGACGGCGGTCCAGTCAGACTTCGAGTCATGGACCCGCACTCTCTGCTGCTGGATGGAAGAAAATTTCAACTTTACGATTTTGTTTGCCACCTTAAATGGCTGCCGGGTGTTGCAGTCAATTTATCGCCCAGATTCAAGTGTTATACTTTGAAGATTTCCCAACACTTGCAAACTGGCATAGCATATGACCGAATTGACATGGCAAAGAAAGATAAGATCTTTCCACACTAGCCTCATTAGACAGGGACATAATTTGGTACCAAATATAAAACGCACGAAAACCGGGATGAACAAGAGCAAAATGTATCGTTTGCCGTCAGGTTTATAAAAATATAATGAAAGCGTTATTCTGAAACGGTGCACAAGTTAGATTCGATGTTACCAACAGTGAGCGCCCCGTTGCAACGCTACATTACTGGATGCTATCCACGAGCGGTCCGCGAGCAAAACCAGGTAATGTCCGGCCCCTCGCACGGCCGGGGCTGTCCCTGGGGTGACGTGTCTGGTGACGAGGCGCCAGTCCGGAGTCCCATCAGTCGTGTGTCGCCGGTCGGAGACTGTCCCTGTGGTGGCACTAAATCGGGCTGAGCACCGGTGTCCTCCAGCGGGGCCGGAAGTCAAGCTATGAGGGCGGGCGTTGTGCGTCTCATAGCGTATTCCATGTACCATGGACGCTTCACTTTAAGTTCGAAGGTGCCCGTTTAGCTCCATCGTTCACTTTTGGTGACTACTTTGTGCACTTATTTTAAGGCGCGATGATTTTCAGTTGCCTTTGGCTATGCAGAATCTTATCAGGTACAATCAATGAAACATCCCTGATTCCGAAGACGGCGCCTGCTCCAAGGCATTTAAACTGTTCGTGAAGCAGTTGTGTCTGCCAATGCAGCCATCATTATCTGTTTCGTCTACGGCCGACTGATGACAGGCATGTCCCTCAAAAGGACCAGAGGGGATAATATTATATTATGAATTATAAATCATCTGCATATTTGCATATTGCTTTGCTTGCTACCATTTAACACTCAATAAATTATGCTGACCGGGGTTTTCTTTGTTCATTGTTTTGTGTGGCTGCGATCCAAACTGAAAAATGATCGGACTATTTCCTTCCTTTGTTATGATTCTATGAATGCAATCCTGTCGGTTTTTGGTGGAGCTGATAACCGGTACTTTCTCATTAGGCTAGTCGACAGATATAACTGTTGAGTTGGGTAAACTTTACCCCACCAGTTTATTGTGCAGGACCAGGTGACAGTAAATTGTTTTTTTTTTCAAGGCTTGACGGTTAGCGCAGAAAGACAGCCATGTACCGAGTAGATATCCCTACCACAGGCTGTTGATTTGTAATTTTTCAGTCGCCATTAAGAAGACCCAGCAACTACAATGGCAGCTGTAAACGAAATCGATGCTGCCATGTTTAAATGCCTCCAAGGGTCACGGGACCGAGGAGTGTAGCGCCTGGTCCGTGTGAAGCGACCGCATGGCGCCTCTCCATTGACATCAGATCGTGCTGCAAACACTCTGGCGAGTGGGGTCTCTGCTGCGTCAGGGGAGCTGGCCATCACCGAACTGTAAGGTCTTCAGTACCCTGCTTAACCGCGGACAAAGTTGGATCCGGTGATCCTTTGTTCATTGTGAAAGTTGGATGGCACTGTAAAGCGTGACGTTTACATACCGACTTATTCGCAATACCATAGTTAGGTTGACATTGATTTTTACGTAAAGGTAGGACCTTAGGGATTGAAACCGTATGTCGTATTTAATGGCCCGCGGCAGGCCATGGTTCATGATCTCGTTAATAACCTTACGTTACCTGCTTTCAAAGCTCACGTATGTAAAATTGCCTAAGCCTTTCTAGCCGGAAAATCGTTTAATCGACATAGTTGATAGAATATCTAAACACGCTCCCGGGAGCCGGTAGAATACCGTTTGTTCGAACGGCTGGGGTCAAGTTGGTTTGGAGGTAAAACAAATAATAGAGCTGGAGGCGCCACATCCACAGGGTGTGTTAACCCGTAAATGAATTCACTTCTGTCAATATTCAAGTTTCCTGGGTTATGGTCATTGGGTCAAAAAAGTGAAAAAGTTGAACTCTACGTTGTTGCCTGAAGTGTTTCTAGACCTTTTTATGCAATCACCGTAAGCCTTGATGCCTGTTCTATGCAAAAGATGACTGCCGCTCATCTAAGGTCAATGACTTTTTTATCTTTGAATCAAACTAAGTCATCAAAGTCATGATTACCAAAATTATGCAAGACTACTTTGCATCTGAATAAGCGTCAACGATTGCTCCAGGAAGTATGGTCAAAAAATGAGATGCTGACCTCGGTCAATGTAGGTCAGAATAGTTCAGATGCGGTTCCTGTCATCAACAAACTAAAAATGAGCACCATAAACTACCTCATGCAGCAAGTTCGAGATCAATAAAAAAGACTGGTTATTGTTTTGGTTTGACTTTCATACTTGACCCTAGGTCAAGTCATTTTTTAATTCAGTTGTTATGTTGCCTAAGAAGCTATCTCAGAGATTTGTGGCTTAGCCTAACACTTCGCTGTTGCATCAGATTGGACGATTCCCTAGAAAATGTCTTCCTGAACCCACGTCCTGACTTTGACTTACAGTAGGTCAGCAATCTCACAATGTAGATCAAAATGTTTGGTACCAAACGATCCATTATTCAGTTGTCTACAGCTGTACACAATTTGGCGCAGCTAAGCCGCGTTGTTCGGAAATCACTCCGGAAAAACCTTCGGGGAGGGGTCAAATTGACCACTACCCAAGCGCGTGTTAGAACATGCACTCGGCAACCTCGAAAAGGAAATGTTATATTCGCTCAGATAAGATGCTTTGAAGTCTTAACGGCAGTTTAGTACGACTTCTGAGTGTGGAGTGGGATGAGGGTGAGATAGGGAGGGATGCTGAGCTCCGGCATTTCTCCTACAGTAAATCATTCACGCTTTCATCCGTGTTTGGATGTGGGATCTCGGATAGCTGCTTGATGTTGATGTTAAGAAGCAGTGTCTGCATGCATTTGGAACATTTTCTATATTCACGTGTCTTAACTTTTAAGATTGCTGTCGATACTCATTGAACCTAAGTTAACACTGCAGCATGGTTGAATCAGAAGCCCTGCCTTGGCTCCTAGTGTAATGAATGTTGATATTCGCAGCTATCACTCATACCATAACTCTCACTGCATAACATCTCTCACAACATCTCATAGCATCTCATAGCAAGAGCTCTGAACTCATTATGACTTATAAGGTAACGGATTCATGAGCTACGCGCCTGCAATGGGTTTCTTCTCTCATCCGGTACTTACCACGCCTTTACGGAATGTTTGAGACGTGCTGTTCATTCGTAGGGAAAAATTACTCATACTATCCTCGTTAATGGTGTTCAACTACAAACAGCGTTTCCAACGCTCGCTTTGTCGGGCCGTCATCAGGCGCTCGATGGTTTTGAGGAGGGCCTAGGAATGTTTGGCATATGATCATTCTATTTGAGCAGCTTGATTAAATTGTATTCGGAGCTAACACCAATTCTCACGTGCCCCCCCCCCCCCCCTCATCCTCCTCCCCTTCTCAAAACCCCGCATGCTTTACGTCGCGTTTGCCAGGGGTTGATTGGTAAATAAGCTACAGTCGGTTCAGGTCTGCGCGGAGCATATGCCTCCGTCTACGTGCCGCCAATGCGCTGGCCTTAATTTGATTTTCTGCAGTTACCAGATGGATGTTGTCCCTATTTATGGCATCATATATCACTTTTGACAGCCGCCGCAGTGATGCAATCGCCCTCTGAACAGTACGTCTGCATCAACACCGCCTCACATTGACGACGAATCCTTTGGAGGCGAACGTGGCGATCGGCTCGGGGGCGTCCGGCTTGTATCGATAGAACTCCACCTGGTCCTTGTACCACTTGACTGCGTAGATAGGCCGGCCGGCAGCGTCATAGTCGCAGCGCAGGTGGCCCGAGTGGCCCCGCACGATGTACGACGGCGCCGTGACGTCATTCAGCACCAATGTCACGCCGGCTGGAAGCAGGATAAACGCCATCACACATTGTTTTCGTCGGTTTCGCTGCAACATTGGAGGCAAAGCATCTGCACCGTACGTGCAGGCTGCACAAAATGATACACTCTGTCAGGGCGGGTTTCCACACCGGACCTCGAGCATTTCGTTATGTTACAAACAGAGCGAGATACGCCACTCCGGCGGCCGCGTGTTAAGGCACGCTAGCCACCCCGGCGGCCGCGTGTTAAGGCACGCTAGCCACTCCGGCGGCCGGGTGTTAAGGCACGCTAGCCACCCCGGCGGCCGGGTGTTAAGGCACGCTAGCCACCCCGGCGGCCGCGTGTTAAGGCACGCTAGCCACCCCGGCGGCCACGTGTTAAGGCACGCTAGCCACTCCGGCGGCCGCGTGTTAAGGCACGCTAGCCACCCCGGCGGCCGCGTGTTAAGGCACGCTAGCCACTCCGGCGGTCGGGTGTTAAGGCACGCTAGCCACTCCGGCGGCCGGGTGTTAAGGCACGCTAGCCACCCCGGCGGCCGGGTGTTAAGGCACGCTAGCCACCCCGGCGGTCGCGTGTTAAGGCACGCTAGCCACTCCGGCGGCCGCGTGTTAAGGCACGCTAGCCACCCCGGCGGCCGCGTGTTAAGGCACGATAGCCACCCCGGCGGCCGGGTGTTAAGGCACGCTAGCCACTCCGGCGGCCGGGTGTTAAGGCACGCTAGCCACCCCGGCGGCCGCGTGTTAAGACACGCTAGCCACTCCGGTGGCCGGGCGTTAAGGCACGCTAGCCAGTCCGACGGCCAGGTGTTGAGGCACGCTAGCCACTCCGGCGGCCGGGTGTTGAGGCACGCCACTCCGGCGGCCGAATGTTCTCGATAATCCGGTGGTCCTCGATTAGCGCCGCAGCCGGCACGCCGCGGTGCCAGCGAGCCAAACTGTATGGGGGGCAAGGAGGCCGGGCCGTCGGTGGTCGTCACCCGGCACCGCTGGCGCTGGCGCTGGCGCAGAGCCCGACAGACTGGCCTGTGTTGGTACCGCATGTTTCACCGGCACCCGCACCGAGCGCTAGCACAATCCAGCCCTGTTACCGTCTGTCCGCATATGACAGGTGTCTGTCATGACTGGCAGTTCACCGTGTACTTATTATCTTCGCTATCTCATAACCAGTCACCCCGTCTCCGCATCGTCCCGCCCCCGTCCTTCATGCTTATCTCCCGTTATACAATTTCACTTACTCTTCACCGCCCTCCTTTCTTTAATTCTTTCGATAGGATTAAAATAGTATTCAGCCCGTCTGCACCTTCTTATAGTTCCATGCCAGGTTGTAACTTTTGTGAACATCTGACATACACACTGCAGGCCAAATAAAAGTCAAAACTTGTCGCAGTGCCCGTAGTCGCGCCCCCATCTGCAGCACCCACCTCCGAGGCTCGGAAATCCCCTACTCACTCTTGCTCCGCGATCTCTCTCGCGCTGTCGCAGACAGGCGTTGATCCATCACACTACAATAGTGCGTCTTATCTGCTGACTTGCACCGCCACCGACGGAAAGGAGCTCATCACAGAAGCACATCTCATCACACCCAACGGCTGTAACCTTTCCTCGCCCCGTAAACGTTCCGACAGGCGGCTGCCAAACCCGTCAGCAGAGCCAGCCCCCAGACGCGCAGGGCCGCGGGAGCCCAACTCAGCCCGAAACCAGTCTGGAGGGGTGTCTGAAAGGTATCGGTCAATGTGTTCCTGCCGGCAGATCGTGCACCGCCGCACCTAGAGTCGCAACAGTGGCACCAAGCAGAGCGTGCAGGCAGACGGCGGCGCCCCAAAACGTGCATGTTGTCACCATTTTCAGGGAAGAGCGGACAAAAATGGCCTCGCAGAACGTGCCTGGCAGTGACCAGCGCCGCCCAGTCGGCTTGCAGTCATCGCATACAGAGACCACCGGAGACAGTGACGCCCGTGCGCCGTGCCGTCGCGGGATGCGGACCACGTGCATGTCTCGTCCCAGTCGCCCGCTGAGCGCCCGACCGCTGTCGGACGTCATCAGCGGCCACGGTGGCCGACAGGCGTAGAACACGGAAGCTATAGTCGAGTACAGACGTGCCCCGATAGGCAGTGGGTGCGAGCGTCTGCCGTTGCGAAGGTCATCCCTATTTTCAAAGGCAGCCGGCTGCCGTTAGGTGACCGGGCAAAGACGCAAAAGCCAAGAATTCAAAGGATTTAGGACAACATGTGAAAGAGCCATATGGCAAAAATTCAAAAGAGATGAAAGTCAACTGGCAAGATGTCAAAAAATTAACAGTCAAGCGGGAAGAGAGCTAAATAAGCAAATGATCAAATTGGACGAAAGTCAAAGGGGAAGATGCCAAGTGCATGAATGTGCATGAATGTGTGCGTGACTGAAAATATTAAGAATGTGTATGAGTGTGCATGAGATGTACATGGATAAAAATATTAAGTCAAAACCATCAAAACAAGAGGAATAAATAATCAAAATAACCGAGTTCAAACATAACAAGTCAAATAAGCCGTAAGTCAAAAGGACAAAGGACAGGGAAGTCAAAGTTTAAAAGAGCCAATGACATACAAGCCCAGAAAATGCAAGGAAACTGCGGAGTCAGCTAAACAAACCGTTAAGATGGTTCAAAATAAATCAGGTTCCGGGATCCCACGTCCTTAGCCCGGCCAAGAAGCCTCGTTGTCCCATTTGCTTGCAAGCTTGGACTTCTGTTTGTTCTGGGCGTCTGTCTGTTCAGCAACAAATAATAAACAAACTACGTTTATGTAAGAAAGAAATATTTCAACCAGCCTGTTTGTATTCAACGGGGACTCTCAGGATCATCTATATCCTTTCATCAGTCTTGGTCAGACAATTGTATTTATGACGACAGATCCAGATACGCTTTGAGGAAAACCTAAAACTCCACATGCAATCTGACGTATGCATACCTCCGAGGAACCGAAAGAAGAACAGATGACCGGTTTTACATTTCAGTCACATATAAATAATACAAACCGATCACAAAGGGCACATGTAATACACTCACAACTTCGATACGATTTTAATACATGTCTGCTGAATGTTACTATGCCATATGACAACTAACTCTCGCCGCGCGCGTCTCTTAAGCACGTACATAGTTTGTTCATATTCTTGAATCGGTTTAACAGCAACGCGTGCGGCATATCGCAGCACTAAAACAAAATAAAGCTCAAGTGTACAAATCACCTGACCCGAATCCAGCATCGCACCCAGTATGACATACTGCCCCAAGTGCACTTTTCTTTTTCCTGCCCCAGTCCCATCATTTCAAAATTCGATATCCGCTAGTTACCGATATCCCCGGTTTTGCATTTAGAACTTTGTCACTGATCGTCCTAGAATCAAAAATGACCTTAATTTTGTCCAACCTGGCTGATAATCTAAAAAGTAGTGCAACTGTATCTCAAGCAGCTTGCTTGGCTCCAGTGGACTGGGCGAACACAATGGCACCTGGGCTCAGAGGTAAGGGGACTGGCACGCAATCCGTGCGAACCAAGCGAGCTGATTGGAATATTATCTTTTTTACGTTTATGATGTCCCAGCTCGGTAATATTTTCAAACACGTCAAACCACGTTTAACAAAACTAATCTTAAAAAATTAAAACCTCATTGCGATCTCATCAAAACGTTTTCACTGCCCACCATGATTCCGCAAAATGGGGTTCGGTTTGCCTGCCCAGACCCTATAGCGCCATTAAAGAGGCGAGCTCAAACTTCTCGCAAACTCGAGAACCACGCTAAGTAGTTATCAAAGCATATAGCTGGATAGGCATCATGCGATGACAATGGATCCTGCGTCAGGACATCTAACATCGCGCAGAGGGCCCACCCGACTTATATCGAGCACACCTGTACGCCCTGCGCGCAGTCACAAGGGCGCTAATTGGCTGGATCCCACTGGCTGAGCGAGACGGGGGGCTTATCCCCAGCCCCTTCCCCCGCCTTCGTGGACATGTAGCTGATGAAGAACTCTTAGTACATTTGTAAGCTGTATTGAAATCCATGGCCTCTGGCCAGGACTTGTTTGTTTTGACTGATGGCCTATTCCATTTTCCCATTTGACTCCCATTTCTGTTCACTTCATGCCAAGATATTTTTTCTGGCTTTGACTTGCATCCTTTTTACTTTTCCCTTTTTCACGTATCCGTGTGACTTCTATCACTTTTGTCTTTTGCCGGCATCACTTTCTGTAGTTGAGGTCTATTCTGTTTAATTTTGCCATGTAGCGTTTTGTCCTTCTGGATCTCTTGACATTTTCAATTTTACACTACCGTTTTATTGCTTTTGACTTTCGTCATACGAATAGTTGTCGTTTGACTACCTTGTAGCTTGTTGTTCTGGAAACCCTCATTAGGTGGTGTCATGCAGAGGCGTCACTTGTATTAAGTGGGTGAGGGGAGGGGGCAACGGGGCGATCCTGGTGCCTACTTCCCCTGATGAAAGCAAGGCTCTGGATGCTGGTATCGGTTGTTGCTTTCATAAACACGAGCCTGGGGCTCCTGGATCTTTTTGACTGTTTTGCAAACACCGGGCTGTGACTATTGGTTGTTAACGCCTCTGCGCTAACCAGTGCATGTCTGGGAAACCGGAGTTACGGGGCTCGATTCCTGGTGGTGCCCGCCATTCCTGCCAGGGTGAAGCATACGGCGCCATATAGCCTCGGCAGCTGAGTTCGTCGTAAAGCCTCAATGACGACGGCTGGCTCTTGATCGTCGCGGATTCTTTCGCAAACACAACATACGGGTTCCTGGTTCTCATTAGTTCCTTAACAAAAACAAAAACAAACACCAGGCTACGGCTTCCATTGGTTCTTCACGTTCTTCTTCATGCTCCCATTGGTTCTTCACGATGTTTTTTCCCGAAATGCATTAATATGGTCGATTATAACACAACATTTTTGCCAGAGCAGGTGCGAAATATCCCGTACATAAGAACGATCGAACATGCTTGACCCTTTTGACCTTTAATGGCCTGGCCGCATGC